AATAGGACACCATGTCCTTCAGTGAAAGATCTGGCTTTTGTTTCGTTCAGGCTCGTGGATGAGAATGCTGGAAAGATAATGATATCATTCACTCGAAACGTTCGTTGAAATTCTTGAAAACCATTTTGGTGTGCCAAATATATTCCCCGATAAACGGTAGTATGTCCAGTGGTTGGCATTCGATTTGTTTTATCGACGTACATCAACAAAGCATAGCGCAATGCTTTGATATAATCAGCCATCAATGATATTAAATCTTCGTCTAATCGATTTAGAATCGTATTGATGATTTTGTAGTAATATGGTGCTTGTGCTGTATACAGATTAATGATCTGGTTAACAGGTTCGGCATGTAATAGTGCCTGCGCAAACTCATCGGCCAATAGATGCAAGTTGTTCAATTTGAAATAAGACGGAATACCATCCGGATAAAGATTTTTTGATAAGATGGTACGATGGAATTGATCCATGACACTTCTGTGATAATTGGCATCTGTGTGAATGTATCTCAAGTTTGAGATAATAAATCCTTGTTCATTGGTTGATAAATAATAAGCAGCGTTTTCCAGTTTTAGTGTTATATCTCGGAACGAACAGCCAGCATTTATAAAATAGATATTACCAAGTTCAATGTCCCGTATTTTTTGTACTACTGCATTGCTGTTACTTGTGACCAATACTATTCTTGTATAGCTGTTAATCCATAATCGATGCTGTTCTACTTGCATACAGTAGATGATAATGCCTTTGATATTCCAATAATAACCAATATCAGCAATGACAGTTTCACCAGTTGATCCCGATGTTATCAAAATCATCTTATGATCAACATTGGATTCAATGAAATCGATCGCCAAAGCTCTGTTGTGGAATTGGACCACACAATATTGATTCGATGGAAATTCTTGTTCTAGTCTCGTAGCAAAAGACTGGTTTTCCGGATTTTGGATGTTCTCGTCGTACCAAATCAGATTGACTTGTGCATTGGGATTACTTTGTTGACGTAAACTTTGCTCGAAACGATCAAAATACGAATTCAAATGCTGTAATCGTTCGTTTTTCTGCGATTGTACATTGGCAACATCGCGTTGTAAAGTTTCAATGAGTTCAACTAATTTTTTCCTAAAGGCAACTTCGCTGGCGGCACCACTGATAACAGCACCTATACCGAGCGTTGCAATACCGAAGGCGGATGCCCCGGTAACCATAGCAATTATTGCTGCTATTAGGAGGAACAGATTGCCACCAAACATAGCTCTCAACAAAACTATCGTGCCCGTCGTCTTCAGTAGTTGATCAGTGTCGTGGATCAGTGCTATAAGACGCGCTCTCACCTCATCCTTGTCCATGGTTGCATCCAGTCCACGCAATGCATTGAGAAGAATTTCTGTTGATTGCTGTTTCTGTATTCTAATTTCGTTCAAGGTGGCACCGATTCTCTTATCATATTCTTTTTGAATCGATGATATCGTTTTTCGCAGTTCCTTTATCTGATACAAATTCGAGTGATACCAAGCATATCTGCATTGTAGATCTTCGACCGTTGCCTTTGTTCGATTCAAACCTTCTAACGATTGGTCGAAAAGTTTTTCTAACAAATTAATTAAAATTCTTCGCTGGTTTTTGGCCAGACTATCCAATGTGTCATTCGCCTATAGAATTGCCAAATAAAGATTTTGCTTATGCAGTTTTCATAAGACTCAATGTGTAAGATTTCACTCACTTCCATATTTCGGAGCTTGTTCTCTACTTTGTTTGGTAAATACCTTGATCTAGACTACTTTGTCTAGTAATTGTGATTGGATGTTTCTGCTATGAGAAAAACATGAACTCTCGATAAGAATGAAGATCAAATAGAAGCTGTAGTTCATCTATGTAATTCCATTAATAACATTCTGTTGATCTTTTCTTCTTATCAGTAATAAGTAAACTAATAAAATATTATTACATGAGAAAAGTAATAAGTAATAAAGTAATAAGATTTCTTACTTGTTTCCGGGTAATAACTAATACGTTTTATTATTTAGTACTTGGTAAAGAACAGTAAAGTGACACCCCTGTCCGTGACCTATACTATACATGTATAGGTCACGAAAGACGAAAGAATAGATACTAGAAAATTAACGCTCTTGCGTCTTACGCCCCATCACTAGCCTCTAGCATTCAGATAGAGATATACATATATCTCAGATATGTCCATTGACATTTGCTTCATACTTGTCGTGGGTGTTCGTGGCTGTTCGTGAGTGTTCGCGTCTTTTAGCAATATCCAACAGTCACTGATGTATAAAGAAAAGATCAACAGAATGTTATTAATGGAATTACATAGATGAACTTTACTTATACATCTATAGTTTTGAATATCGTTGTTGGAAAAAATAGTTTTCTAGGACAATCACATTCAACAATGTTCATTAAAATGCGAAAAAAAAAGATAAAAGAAACACCTAAGCTGTGTTGATCAAAGTAAACCGTTGTTTGTAGTTTAAAAAATACACAAAATATTTTGTTTAAAAAGAAGCGTTTACTTGAATGATTTCATAGTTTATTCTTTCTTGAATACGAGAGAATTTGAATAAGGAAGTAACGAATGCCTACGTTGTAGGCAAACTTAGAATTCTAAGTTGGACTAAGTTAGTCAAAATTAGAATTTAGGCAAAATTGGAATTAAAATGGGAAAATCAGAGATCACAACTGATAAAGTCATAAAATTAACTATGTGTGCTAAAATCATGTTCT